TGCCTTGACCAGTTGGTGAGAGAGAGAGAGAGAGAGAGAGAGAGAGAGAGAGAGAGAGAGAGAGATGTACAGCAACAACAGTAGCAACAACTACATTAATAGTAGTGATCGATGACGAACATGAAAAAGACGATGACGATGACAGCAGCAGCGATAATATTGTGTCTCCCAGTCAGTTCTTTGGTAAATCATTATCTGCTATAGTCCTCCATTCAGATATTCTCTTACTGCTTTATAATGTTGAAGTAATACAATTTTAATGTAAAATGTAATTAAGAATGATTAATTAATTAATACAATTAAAAAGATAACTGATGTCAGTAATACAGCAAATTAAATTACGCAATTACATTTTCTCTTAAAACCGTCCTACCGTTCACTGTTATTGTAAAACGTTGGATAAAATGAAATTTAAAAGTTAAATTTTTTACTATGATAAAAGACATCATGTGTTTGCAATTACATATTAACAAGAACATTGTCTGAGTTTTTAAATAATAACAAAAATATTTTAAACAATTTATGTTTAAGCTGCTGTGTTACCCAACTGACAGGGTCAAAAGTAACAATGAGCAACGACTGTTTAAAGTCAGATTTTACCCAAGTTGTTCCAAACTTCTACAAAATAGCACCTGGTATTGGTAACCTTATCTTTAAATATGACATTTATGTGAAAAGTATATCAACTCTCCCCTGCTATAAGAATGTCACACCACATGCACCAGAGCTGCATACTGGCAGTGCCTGTGAATTGTGTCAAATCAGCCAATACTGGGCTGGCAAGGCTGGTTTTCTTCCCTCTGTACTTTTCCTGTATTTTTCTTTAGTCCAGATTTCCCTCTGGCGTTTTGCTCCTCAGGGTCCTCCCCATCTTGCACCACTCCTGCTAGACAAACAGCAGCACCCAGCATCGCCCAAAGCTATCAGTCCAACCTGATGCACGCTGATAACAGCCCATACACCTCCACACCGGCCTTATCTCTCTCGCATGCCAGATCCAACCATACCTGTGGCTTCTGTGTACAGTGAACAGATAATCAGCTGTGGGTTTCAGAAAGTTGGGTTGGTGGAGTGGATTACAAACATCTTTAATTTTTATTATTTCAGGACAAGCATTCAGTCTTATAGTTGCAGTTTATGTGAACCAGTATTTGGTTTGAAGCTGTTCAGCATATAGATGTGTTGCGGTATCACACCTCCCTAACAACTGTAGTCATGTGTCATACGTTATTTTATCTGGGATGGAAACTGTTACTCATACAGCAACTCCAAAATGGAGCCAATGGGACAACTCCCAACCCATGAACCAAATGTTTACATCCAGTAATAGAAAGTAACTAAGTACATTTTCTTACATTTACATATTCTACTTTATTATACACTGGCAGGCTCCTTAAGACGTCACTGCTGCTGTAAGTTTGCCAATGTTGACAAGTTCCCTCGTGTTGCTAACACACGGTTGACAGCATTGAACAATAGAGCTAAAAGGGTTAACTGTGATTAATCACTATTTTCATACCAGAGGAAACATGTGACTCTGAGACAGGGGTTCACATCCTGGATCCCACATGTGCCTAGGTTTAAGCAACAAAGGCACTTTACTTAAAGTTAGGGAAAGATGGTTTTGGTTAATAATAAAGTAAACAGTATGTGGCTTGTGCTTCAAGTCACATATATTATATTGTCTTGTGTATGAGCTTTGCTAATGAATGTGCATATACACACAGTGCAGACTGCAGTGCTGGCTGCAGCCCAGGAGCAAATCTAGAGTATACAGTTGTATGCGAAAGTTTGGCCACTGCTTGACAGATATCACATTTTGAAGATTTTTTCATTGAAAAGATGTAAGGATAGCCACTCGAGGGTATGGAACATAAATCACAATATTTGCATTGTTTCATTTTATTTCATAAACTGAACAAAAATAAAAATACCATTGTGGAATGTGCAAATGTTTGGGCAGCCTACACCGTCAAGAGTTCAGTCTCAGTTTTTTACCAGGTCTCAGGCCTTCATCAGCTTGTTAGGCCTGAGGTATGTCAACAGTTGTCATTAGGAAACATCAGCTGCTGCCATTTTCAACCATTCAAAAATACTCAAACCTTGTGTGAACACTGGTCCATACCTTAAAACCCCTGTCTTGACAGCCTGGCAGGAAATCTGGGCTAGTCTGAGCATGGCCCCTTTATAGTACGGCTGGACCTCCAGGCTTTGATTGCACTGATGGTATTAATACAGAGGTCCTTAACAGACTCAATTATTCACAAAGAGCAAATTCCACAAAGGGCATTTGGACTGCAAGGATTCAATGTCAAGCTAGATTGAAGCTAGGTCATATTTCAGCCAGTCCCTACCAAGTCTCACACTTTGTACATCTAAGCCCCCATCAGAGCCAGCCAATCAGGGCTTCCTTTTGCTCCAAATAAAGGAACCTAGCCAGCCTTCAAGCACCTTGATAACCTTGTTTGATAATAAATTCGGATCATCTGCAGTGGGTAGAGTAGTCTAAGCAGGATGACCATTTTAATCAGAGCAATCCTACCCATCCAGGAGAGAGGGAAGGGGGCCCAACGATCGAAATGCTTTTATGGCATCCCAAAAAAAAAGAAAGTTGGACCTAAACATTTGGCCGTGAGGGTGACCAAAAAAGGAAACGGCTCTGACAGGCCTGGACACTTGTTTCAGACTTTTCTAAATTAGCTTTGTAGCCTGAAAAGGTACCAAACGTAGAAATGGTTTGTATCAAGCAGGGAATAGTGGTTTGTGGTATTGATAAAAACATTTTGTCCACACTTTGTTAGCTAAAGGTAGCATAACGGGAACTGTATCTAAATTATTTCATTCTACAACTTCGTATTGTAAAGTAGGCAGTAGGCAACATACTCGCGAAGAATAAGTGTTTGTTAATAAAGTATGTACCATAAGCACTGGAGATCATGACATATTTGTAATCAGCTTATAGAACAAACAAATTAAATAAATAAAAGCCTACATGTGTGCCAATGACTATATTACTTAACAATTTGATCATAAAAGAGTTTCCACTGCCCTTTTTTATATGTACATATGATTTAGGCATGCTACCTTTTATTTTCATCTTATCAAATATTTGCTGTGTAACCTCAGTTTGATAAAAAATTATGTTCCAATTTTTTCAAATAATTTCACAGCAAACCACAGGTGCCATTTTATTGTGATTGGGCCCAAACCAACACAGTCTCAGCCGGGTTATCACTGTTGGTTAAAGGAGGTGAACACTGTCCAAACACACTCTGACCCAATGTTGTCACATTTCAGGGTGACTCAGAAAATCTCAATATTGAGCAACTTTTTCACATACGAGTCAGAGCCAGCCACTGGAGACACTGAGGCTGTGCCAATGGGCTAATTAAAAAAAACCTAGATCAATAAAGAAAATGTCTTTAAAACTACATTATTTCTCTTAACAGTGATCAGTATTTGCCTTTAGTGCAGCCTCCACTTTACTTACACACTGCAAAAACAGCCCTTCTAGAAACAAGCCAGACATTCTTCTAAAATATAATCAAAATTTCTTGTATTGAGCCAAAAAAGTTGGCCAGTGGACTATTCTTAACTAGTATAAAAATCTGAGAAATCTAAGAATCTAGGAAGCTGTATTTATTACAAGTAATGTAAACTCAGTTATATAAGACAGCCTTTCTTAAAGAAGTATTTTGGTCACTTTTTTTATTGAGCTGAATTTAAAAATTAGTACCTTTTAATCTAAGATTAATAATCGGCAAAAAGACACAATGTCTTCAAACAGCATAATGAAAATAGGTGACTTGGTCTTAAATGAAGGCACCAGAAGTATTCTTATTTTTAACATTTTTTATTAAAACAATGAAAAACTGAACAGCTGCTTCATTTCCAACACTGGGACAAGACTTGTTACTGGTTGTTACTGGTTAAATGGAGCTCAATATTAGCTGTAACATCTTATTGAGACAGAGTGAGATAGATTCTATTAAAACCAGAACACTTTTCTAATGTAAATCATGCTTGTCAAGATTATTATTCTTTATATACAAAAAATAAGGTGCTGTTACTTTCTTGAGATTCCTTTTTGTAGAGCATATTTCATACTCTCTGGGCCAGCATTAGTCCTCCCTTCTTCCTGGTGTCCCAGTCACCTGTCCACACACCCACTTCTTATCATGTAATATGCTCCCCTTTGCCATCCCCATACACAGTTTATGGCTTATCATCTTAAAACAGAACTGAAAACCTGGCCAGGCTCTTATTAATCTGCTAAAAGTGAAACTTTGGGTTATCTAAAAAGAAAGGTTGGTAAAAAGGTTTTTATATTCATGGTGACTGGCAATAAAACGGTGCAACCTGCTATGGGTGTGTTATGATTATTACGCTTACTCTTCCCATTATCTGGAGTGCCTCTGGACACAATACCATACTGATACTCTGGCTGAAATGAGAAAGAAACACAATAATGATGACAGAGCAATACCAGGAATATTTTAAATATTACAGTGACATTCAAATTTATAGAAAATAATCAAAGTATATTAAGCTCACTGTAAAGTCACTAAACCAGTACTGGAACTTCTGCTTCCATTTTTTTAAAATTTCACCAGATATAACACATGTGCCACCTTTTTAGGGTTGTTACCGCCAGCTTTGCACATACTGCTGTCAAACTAGTGGCCTACAGTCCCACCAGTCAGACAGGCAGCATTAGATACCTCTCTATACCTATAAACAATATTTTTATGTTTCATTATGAGTTGATTTACAGAACCTCCTCAGAAAACAATAGGATCCAAACAGCATGACTGAAAACAATGTCTGATTAGTGCCACTGCGCAGATGGAAGCTGCACCCATGGCTTTGTGGCAAGCAGCAGAACCACTTCTGCCAGCCACACAATCTCATTTGGGTGGACGTTAAGACAATACTAATGGATCTGTAATGAACCAAAGTATAACAAGTAATCTCTGCTCTCCATTCATGTTGACTCTCTGTCGAGTCTTGCTATTGTTAAAGATGACTGCTGGTGATAAGCAAAGAAAAGACCAAAGTGCTAATTACGCAAAAATCGAACACACCTTGAATAGTTTTAAGCTTTTATCGCTTGAGTCAAAATATGATAAAGCAAAGCAAATAAAAACACTTTATTTATCTTAAGCCTTACATGATATCAAGCCATAATTGGTCATAATGGTTGTCTATTATTCCCACAGGTGTAAATCAGATTTGGTAGTTGTGGGCATTACCTACTTGAATAATGCCAAAACTGTATCTTGAAGCTCTTGAGCCTGACTGGTCAGAACCACGGCCAGAAACTAACCGAATGTATCAACTCAAACACAGGAAATATGTTTGGTTTGGACTTGCAGTTTTAAGTAACAATTATCCCGAATCCTTAAAGTTCCCTGTAACTCATTGTTGATTAAAAACAGGGTTGGGAGGTGTGACCACCATGATCTCACACATGATGGGGGAGCTCCTGCTTTTGTAGCCTGTGATGTTCTGGATCGCCTGACACATATCTTTATTGTTGTTGGTTTTGTGGGTCTCTCTCCAGTCTCTGCTGGTGTCTCTGCTCTACCTCCTTGATGCCCGCTTTCAGTCTTGCTCTGGCGGTGTTGTAGGGTTCCTTGTCACCTGACAAAAAGGCAGCTTTTTTGGCTCTGGAGAAAGCCCTCACCACTCCATTCATCCAGGCTTTATGTTTGGGGAATGATTTTATCGTCTCTGTGATGTTTAATGATATACAACTGTGACTGAGTTGTATAGATGAGTTTTATTTATTTCCACAAACACTGGCAATGGCTTAATTGAACTGATGTAAGAAAGTCACACTGAGCTTATTCTGATGCTCTTTGTTGAGTTGGGTCTCTGTAAATAATGTTATAAGGAGTTTGGTCTTCTGTTATGAATTAGCGCTATACATGTTTTTATACACTAAAAATATAAAATAACTCCAGCTTTAACTGTGAACATTACTAATATCCCTTTACCGTAATAGTAAAAACTACTACTACTAACACACTTTCAACAGTGCAAAAAGGGTTAATTTTTTAAATTATTATTACTTAAATGTATTAGTAATTAGTTACACTCCTAGTTACTGGGGAAAGTAATATTATTACTGTAGTATTATTACTAGTAATGCCTTACTGCCCAACTCTGGTGAAGAAGGGGAAGGCCAAGACCAGCCCTCATGAATATGGAAATGTAGCTACACCTGCCACAATGAGACCTTGCTCCCAGGTATAAAGAGCTGGGCCTCCCTCCCATCGACCTCAGAGTTCTTGTGGAGAAGCAAATGGCTATGGCTAACGAGTGGCTGCTATGTCTGACTTTGTCAGCCATCGTAGCTGCTTGGCACAGCGGTAGGCTACACACAATATACTCCAATAGGCAGCTTGGCAAATATAACAAATGGGACAATTAATCGTTCAAATGTTTACCCATGTGCTACAGGAATGCTCAGCATTATTGTGTTTTTAAAGTTTGAAATTTGATAATTGATTGCTTGACAAACATCTTTTACTTCCTTCAACAGAGGCAAAGTCTGCTGTGAACACATTCTCCATGTCCCAGATTCCTGAAAAAATAACAGGTGAGCTTGTTGGTTGGCTGTTAACTGTCTGTTCCCTTATGTAGGCAGTACGTGAACATGTATTCATGTATGTAAAGACCTGTGTAAATTAAGGCTGCTGTCGGGGTATCACGTACTGATTTGTCTTTGCAGGTGTGAGTCCCATCCACAATGGCCAGGTTTGCAGTACGTGGGGCAACTTCCACTTCAAGACCTTTGATGGGGATGTTTTCCAGTTGCACTCCACCTGCAACTATGTTCTGACCTCGGCCTGCCGGGGCAGTTACAAGGACTTCAACATCCAGATAAGAAGACAGGATGCTGGCGGCCGTCCCACCATCAAAAACATCATTATGAAGCTGGAGGGTTCAGTGGTGGAGCTCACCAAGGGCTCGGTGGTCATTGATGGCAAATCGTAAGTTTACTCTAAAACCCGGTGCTGGAAGAAGTATTCAGATCCTTCGCATGTGTACCACATTGTGAAAATACTCCAAGTAAAGACCTGAATTCAAACCTTTACTAAAGTGAAATAATGTAACAATTATCAGTAAAATGTACTTAAGTATCAAAAGCAGATTAATATTGCATTCATGTGTATGTTAGATTTTACTGCTGCAGATGTTTAAGGGTGTGAAAAATTATGATCTGTATTAAAGCTATCACTCAAATGTAGTGAAAAGAGTAAAAAGTAGAATATTTGCCTCTAAGAGGTAGTGAAGTACAAATATAAAGTTGCATAAAATGTAAATACTATAGTAGTACAGTACAGTAGTGCAAATATTCATAGTTACATTCCACCACTGCTATTAACCCTAAACCCTTCCCGCTCTGCCTGCATAAGTTATTGCCTCAGACTGGATACATGTGGGTCATATATCTAATTCCCTTATAAAACCAACTGATTTCAGTAATGACTTGATTGACATGAACAGGAATAGAGCTACCATGGCAACTTTATCATGTTACCTTAGACATTTTATAGTTTTTGTAAACACTGTTGAATGCTGTAGTTAGTTAAGTAAATTCATGTTGGAAAAGAAAACTTTGTTCCATGCTTTGTTTTATGCTATTGGTCTTAAGAATTATCCTTTGTGAAAACGCTTGCCTCATAGTCATTAGAACTGCATTGTTAGTACCTAAAGATATCAGACACAGAAGTAAATTACCCAAACAAAATATTGTTATCTACTGCCACTCTTTGATTTCATGCCTTTGCAAATGGTTAAACACAACTGACAGCTCCATTTACAATCTCCCTTTGGCTCCAGGAACAACAGTTAGAAAAAATCATAATGGCCACAATAACGCAACTTATTTTTTCTTCCTGTAGAGCTGTCTTACCACTCAGTCAAGCAGGCATGCTCATCGAGAAAACTCCCACCTACATCAAAATCAAAGCAAAGCTGGGGTTGGTTGCTATCTGGAACGAGGAGGACTCTTTTCTGGTAGGGTTATAACTGCACAGAAAAGTCTGCTATGACTTGACTTGATGATTTATAGTTTAAAAATACATATCAGTATTGTTAAAATTGTTAAATGCAGAGCACTTGACCCTTCCTACATCCTGCCCCTTTTAGAACCTGGGTTAGCCTCCGGTTGGCTAGTACTTGTTGCCTTAATTGGTTTGGTTAGTAGGTTAGGCATGAGGGGTACGTCAGGGTAACCAGTCAGAGGCAGAGTAGGGCATAGGGATGAGTGAGTACACCATTATCTCTATGTGTATCTGTTTAACCAACTGAATTATCTGTATATCCAGATACAGATAATTGGAAAAAATTCCGTTTACGGATATAGGAATTGAAATAATTATAGTCATTTAAGCCTGAAATTGATATTTATTGATCAGAAGTTGCAAAATTTATTTGAAATTTTCTATCACATTATTTCCAGGACAGCCTCAGGGTTACACTTTAGTGATTTTGAAGCAATGTTAGTTTTATTACAGTAAGCTACTATATATATATATATATAGTATATATAAATATATATATATATATATATATATACATATTGTTTATTATAAAAACTACAGAAACAGCTTCAGAATTGAGCTTCAGGTTAATGTTTCACAAGAGTAAGAGAACTAGGGATGTTGTATTGTAATATTTTGAATCCTCTGTTAATTGTGCACTTGCAAAGCATACATACATTTATACATATACACATATGAGAGAAAGCACACACCTTAGCCTAGCTAATGTTAGCTAATGTAATCAAAATGCTACCTAACTCGCTAACTAATCTACATTAATTGTTAACTAGCTAATTAGCTAGTGTTTGTCAAACATATGATGTAACTAGCTATTAATGTAAATTAGCTAGCTAGTTATCTAATGTTTTGTTAACATAAAATGTGACTATATATATGTGTAGCCACATAGCATATCTAAGTACAGGAAAGGAAAGTTGACTGATGCTTACTTAACTGTGATTGGAGCACAGAGCGAAAAGGGTGAGGATCAATTGTGCTCTGCCTGTGTTTTTCGGCAATGAAAATATCATTATAAAAAAATACTGTCAAAGGATTGAATTTAAATATAACTATTTAGACACAGGATCAGGCTGCACACTAAACAAATGATATATCCATGTTGCGTAATGTATTAAGTGCAGTAGGGAGTTGGACCACCAAATATGATTTAAAGCATACTGTATATATTTCATTGGTTGATGGTTTTGTTCTCACAGGTGGAGCTAGACTCGAAATATAAGAACCAAACCTGTGGTCTTTGTGGAGACTTTAATGGGGTCCAGCTCTACAACGAGTTCTACAGTCACGGTAAACTTTGACCCACTTTAACAAGTCAGTCAGTGTGGGCAGGGTGCAGAACTGAGCTGTGTTTCTTTGATATTATCCAAACAGGTGTGAAAATATCCCCCATGGATTACGCTAACTTCTGGAAGATGGATGGTCCAACTGAAAGCTGCTCGGACTACACACTGGAGTCAACACAAAACTGCAACAACATGGTGAGGCTTCAACCACTGACACATGAAAATCTAAATTAATTAAAAATAAAAAATCATTCTTCACAACACTGTATCACAATTATAGCATGAGTAGTTACAGTAACTCCACAAGGGATTATCCCTAGATATGTGTGGCCTTCGCTACACTTATGTTATGTTGCACCTTCTCAGCTTTAAGCCTCTGTTTCCATTCCCGTCTGTCTGTCCTGTAGAAACCTCTGTGTGAGCAGATCCTGACAGGGCCGGCTTTCCACAGCTGTCACAATCTGCTGGATGTCGCCTCCTTCACCTCTGCCTGTGTTGCAGACCTCTGTCACTGTGGCAATGGCGTCGAGGAACAGTCAGAAGTCTTCTGCCTGTGCAACACTGTGTCTGAGTTCTCTAGACAGTGTGTCCATGCTGGTGGCAAGCCCCACAACTGGCGAACCAAAGAGCTCTGCTGTGAGTACACTCGTCAGACACTGCTACTTATATATTCCACAGGTGGGAAGGGTTGTCTGCTTTCGTCCACTGACTCAAAACACTCAAAGACACACTATAGTTGAAAATAGGAACCAGGATGCAGTAGTAAAGTTTGTATGAGTGAATGGTATCAGAGTGGTTGTGTAAGTCACGTGGTAAAAAACAACTGATGTATTCACAGGGAAGTCGTGTCCCTACAAAATGGAGTACAAAGAGTGTGGGAGTCCCTGTGCTGACACCTGCTCCAACCCAGAGGCCAGCCACACCTGTGACAATCACTGCATCGATGGATGCTTCTGCCCTGCAGGTACAGCAGAGTGACACGCACATACAGACACACAAACACGCACACTATATGGCTTTCAATACAGTCATACTTGGATCACTTTCAGGCACGGTGCTGGATGATCTAAATGGAAAAGGTTGTGTCCCACTGAGCCAGTGCTCCTGCAGCTACAACAGCAAGATCTATGGGCCTGGAGAGTCCTACTCCAGTCACTGCAAAAAATGGTATGAAAAATGGTATATGCAGTATGTCAGTCTCCCTTTGATTAATGCAAAATGTGTCAGAAAATTTCATTTGTCAAGGTGTGTCCAGTACAGAGATACAGTAGGTCCCAGAATATGTTCAGGCTAGTTTATCCTAGCTTGTAAATAAAACTGTTTTGGAGATTCTATTCTCTAGTAAATAATATTCAATTGTGTGTGCTGACAGTGTGTGTGAGAGTGGCCAGTGGATGTGTACGGAGGAGAACTGTCCAGGGACCTGCTCTGTGGAGGGAGGAGCTCACGTCAACACCTTTGATGGAAAAGTCTACACCTTCCACGGGGACTGCTCCTACGTTCTGGCTAAGGTAGCACACACCATCATCATCAGATCACACTTACACACACCTCTGCTGTGGTAATGGGACATGCATAACACAAAAGACCTCAACCTCAAACCTGTTATAGCTGTTATTGGTAGAAGGCTGTGATTACCCAGTAGCCATCAAACTATGACTCTTCCCCCTTCTGCAGGGAGGACAGCAAAAACATCAGGCACTGAGAACAATAATATTAACGTCAGTGTAATATTACTTTTCAATATTGTGTATTATTAATACCATGTGCAATGTTAAAATGTTACTTTTCAATATTATTGCCAATTTTACTTTTTCCTTTTTAATTAATTTTAGTTCACTCATTTTACTAAAGATTTTTACTTTTTACATTTTACTTACCTTTTATCAATATCCTTTCTTTTATTGTTATTCTACTGGTATAAGTAGCTTTTAACACTCTATTACTAACTCTACCTAAGTATCAACCTCTACCTCAAGTATTAGTGCTGCTGATACAAATGATCCATACACTGTCACTTATTCTACTGCTATTATACACACTGCTGTGTGCAGGTACGCTGTCTGAGTTCAGCAGTAGTTGAATAGTTTTGTGTTTGTGTGTGTAGGACTGCAGTGGAAGCCAGTTTGTGGTACAGGGAGAACTGGTGCAGTGTGGACTGACTGACAGTGAAACCTGCCTCAAGTCCATTACCTTGGGTCTGTCTGGAGGGGCTAATGTGAGTATGATACATACACAGACACACTCACACACACAACAGTGTGTATTTGAGCCTTTACCTGCAAGAAATCTAAATTATAGCTGAATTATTTTAGAAATATGATCCTCAAAGAGTTTATATTGTGTTTTATGGATGATCCTGAATCCAAATACATTATGAAATATTTTCATTCCAAATCTTTTCAGCATTTTTTGTTTTCCTGTTGGAAGTAAATGATGAGGAATTTGAGGAATTACGATTATACCTGTAGTTTTGTTTTGCTTTTGGTGTCAATTATTTTCCAAAGCATACAATAGATTGTTCAGTATGTTTTGGCATTCGTTTCTATATGTATTCAAGTATGCAGTGAAAATAATCTTGCAGGTTGGGTCCATCACAGTGAATATTATATTCACGTTTTATCAAGTTTTACTGATCAAGTTGCATGCATCATTGTATGGTAATGCAATGCAAGCAGGATTTTTTTTAAATCATTACACCATCATTGAACACACACCCAGAATGTAAACATTTGAGTAATAACATCTTTTCTCCCTCCATATAAAGGTCATCACCATCCAGCCCAATGGCAAGGTTTTTGTCAATGGCATCTACGCTCAGTTACCCTTTTCTGCTGGTGAGAGACTCCTCTGTACAATGTTCACCTGTGACTTTCTCTCTATCTGACATGTAGAAAAAGATACACTATAGGGCCACATTCTAAGTACAGTACAGTTTTCTATATAGTGTACATAATATAAACTGTTCAGCGGAAAGACTGAAGAGTGGATAAACACTTAATTTTAGTTGCTGACAGACTTAAAGATCCCCTCCAGACATGTATAAAGAATCTATGAATATAGACATTTTGTTCATTTCTAAAGTGGTTCAGCGTCAGCCTTGATCATGAATTCCAGTGAACATAAATTGCCTATAGCCGTTAGCGGGACACCAGCAACATCTAGTGGTCAGCCGGGTGTAGTGTTAGTGTATGTTCTTCCAGCTGGCAACATCGTGTGTCCATGTGAGGTCACCATCTCACCTCTGCAGCTCAACAGTAGAGTTCAGTGACAAGGACGGCTGCATATATTTCGAAAAAAACACAAAAAATGTGTAATAAAATTAATAATAAATAATACATTAAACATTCAATGACTTAAAAAACAAGTGGCACTGATATTTTAGTATTTTCAGTCACTGCTGATTCAGAGTAATTTTCATTTGTCTCTGGCCTGGATAGACTGCCAGCATGCAAAAACTATAGATTCCAGTTTTAATATGCTGTTTTCCTGACTAGCCAGATGAGCAGACAAAAAGTATTTAATTCAGTCTCCTCCCATCCATCCTTTTAATAACTCCCTCTCTTTACCCATAGTTGGGATCTCCGCCTTCAGAGCATCCTCTTTCTACGTGCTGGTCCAGACGTCTGTCGGTGTTCTGTTGGAAGTGCAGCTCCAGCCAGTCATGCAGCTCTACGTCACAGTGACCAACGACTACAAGGCCAAGACCTGTGGTATGTACACTGAAATGATCTGTATGTGCTCTTCCTGCCAACCTATAGCACTCAAATAGTGATGATGGCATTATTGAGCCCTGTTGGTTGTTGCAAACAATGAATATGTGAGTGGAAATAGAGAAAATAGGGGTTTTGTAAACATATATTGTAGAAACACAGGTAGAAATGCTGAGACTGAAAAATGTGAAATTGGCTCATTTTGATATATAGCTATTTCTTTATTTATTAATACAATATACAGTAAAACCATGAGCTTTTAGGGATTGTGACATATACAGACAATCCATCAATGTAGTGCTGGTTACTTTAATATCTTGATGTAGTAGTTATTGCCGCTCCATGAAGCCAGATGTGTTTATTCACAGTTTAAAGTGGTAAAATTAGACCAACAGGTGTTACTTGTATCTATGGAGGTACTGACATTTAATGACTTTTGATTTAAACAAACTATAAATAGTTTTGATTAAATTTATGATTTTTAAAGATAATCTTAAGTACCCCTTAATCAAAACCACCATTCATGTTCCAGATGTGTTATTTAACTACTATATAATCATAAAACTGGATATTACATATATAATGTGTTACAGTATTTTCATGTAATGGATGGTTTGGTCAAGTAAAAAAAATGGTAAAGCCTGCAAACTTACTCACTACTACTACTACTACAAAAAATGGACGTTTCAACAGTTTATCCATTACCTTTAGTTAACTATTTCACCCCCTTATGCTTGCGTGGTAACTACTTGCTAACTACCTATGGTTGGGAATCTCTGCTGAAATTATTATAAAAGTTCTTCTTACTTTGATTTTAATTACAATTTTAAAACCAACAAATCAGTTTTTTATTAGTCTGTTTTAGTGTGAAAGAAATGCCTTCAACGTTATAAAAATTATCTGTGTTGTGCCCACTCTTCTACCCTGTGGCGAAAGACAGAGTCAGTCCCATTTAATCTCTCTAAAATAAAGGCCTAGGTGTTAACATGATGGTGTCTGCCTGCAGGTCTGTGCGGGAACTTCAACAGTAACCAAGCTGATGACTTCCTTAAGCTCAGTGGCGTTCCAGATGCCACGGCAGCAGGTTTTGTCAACAGTTGGAAGACACATGCTCGTTGCCCCAATGTAAAGAGCAACTTTGAGAACCCCTGCAGTCTTAGTCTGGATAATGGTAAGTCTGACTCATTTAGATTCTCTGGTATCACTGTGGGTTCTTCAGAGTGACTGATGTTGGTTGTTGTGTGTCACTGACAGAGAAATACGCCCGCCATTGGTGCTCCATGCTGAACGACCCTCAGGGAGTGTTTGCCCCCTGTCACTCAGAGATCAGCCCTGACTCTTACAAAGAGGTGAGTATCACAGCTTTTACATATCTCTGTGGGCTGTACCTGGATCAGTCTCCAGACCTCACACTGATGTTTTTATCTATATTTTGTCTCCTCGCAGAACTGCATGTATGACAGCTGTAACTGTGAGAAGAGTGAGGACTGCATGTGTGCGGCAGTCTCCTCGTATGCCCATGCCTGTGCAGCTGCAGGAATCCAACTCAACGGCTGGAGGAAGACCATCTGTGGTGAGTGGAGAAGAGCTGTGAAGCAGAAGAGTGTTGTGCATGAGACTCAGAAAACAGTACTAGCTTGTCCAAATCAAAAAAACAATCTTGTCTTCCATGACTTTTAGGGACACACAAAAAAAAGCCTTCCATATTGTGTATATATAGCTATTTACATTACTGCCATTATTTAACATACAGCTCAAATCCAAGTGCATCAACCGCAAAATTAAGGAAAAATCAGCAATGAACTAATTAGCTAATACAATTGTCATCGATAATTAGATGTGCCCCTAAACAGCAATTAAAAAAAAATTACACATTACATGTATATATCTATCTATCCACTGCTGTCAAATGTCAAAACACTCAGTATATGATCAACATCTCTATACCAAGCAGGAGTTGAACCAGTAATCAAGTGGATAAAGAGCAAGTCCTACAGCTAACAACCACAAACAAAATAATTCAGTAATATTGTTGGTAAACATTAGTGTGGTAATTTAAAATCTCCATGTAGCATGCTTGCAGTGTAGCAGTCTTACAGCTTATCACTGATTCTGTGGTCTGACCTCCTCAGGGAAATATGCCAGCTCCTGCCCTAGCAACATGGTCTACTCCTACAACATCACGTCCAGCAGTCGCACCTGCGGCTGCATCGGTTCCACGGACCTCAGCTGCCACTTCTCCTTCCCGCCCATCGACGGCTGTATCTGCGCAGAGGAAACCTATCTGGATGAATCTGGGAAGTGTGTCCCATCTAAGGCCTGTCCCTGCTACGACGAAGGCTCAGTGGTGCCGCCCGGACAGGTCGTAAATAAGGAGGGAGTCATGTGGTATGAAAATTATATATATTGCATATGTTTTTTATTGTGTTATTCCAAGTGAAATGTATGCGATTTGTGCGGTTTCACTGAGTATACACCATGTCTCAGTGTTAAAGCCCCAATCCGTAATGTTTTTGAGCACTAAAATGTGAACTCTTTTTGCTTATATTTAAATTAGAAGTCAGTATTTTTGTTCTGACTTCTTTGTGATATACAAATATATTTTTTATGTTTTGTTAACAGAGTGCTGCAAAGTTTAATATGTATATTATTGTGTTTCTTGAATTTCTCCACTAGCACCTGCAAGGAGGGCAAACTCAGCTGCATTGGAGAGTTTATTGTGCAGCCATGTAAGTTACAATACAAAATCACCTGGATACCAATCTAATGTATGGAGGTTGAGCTGAAGTTGGGACATGGTTAAAGATTAAATTAAACTACTAATTAAAAGTTTGTTCTGCAAATCATATATTTAAGTGTAATTCTCAGACTGAGAAAGTCTTAATATAAAGTATACACCGCCTTCAGGTGTAAAATTTGTGGACAAGATTCAGTACAGTAAAGTCACTTCAGACATCTTTTCTCAGCAGCCTGTGCTCCTCCCATGGTTTACTTCAACTGCTCTGCTAATGGTCCAGCTGCAAAAGGAACTGAGTGTGAGAAAAGCTGCAACACATTAGACATGGCCTGTGTGAGTTACCTCCTCCCAATCCTGAAGGAACATTTACATGCAAATACATATTATTGGTTATAAAACTAGGACAAATATTTGGATAATCTGAGGTAACGTTACAACGTTTTATCTTCTGGAACAGACATTAATGTGACTGTAAAAAATGTTGGTTCTCCAGATGACCACAGGGTGTGTCTCTGGCTGTGTGTGTCCATCTGGGATGGTATCTGATGGTAAAGGAAGTTGCATCAAGCCAGAGGCCTGTTCCTGTGTTCACAACGGCATCTCCTACCAGCCTGGAGAGACCACCAAGGTGGACTGCAACACCTGGTAGGTGAACGGGTGCTGCTGTTCATCCCTAATTCGTAACACTGTATTTACCCTACTATTTCATGTCAAAATGGCTGCTGTAAATAAGGTCTATTAATTTGGTTGCACCTCAATGTGTGACTGACAAATGTACAAACAAACGGCATGTGTTTTATTATGAGCTCATTACCATCTAATCTGTGATCATTTATAGCACTTGTAAAGACAGGAAGTGGCAGTGCACTACCAACCAGTGTGATGGAACCTGCTCTGTCTATGGTGCCGGACACTACATGACTTTTGACGAGAAGCGCTTCACTTTCGATGGCAGCTGTGAATATATTCTTACTCAGGTATGAAGGCCACAAAAAGAACTGCTAAACAGATTGATGGAACTGATTTTCTTGTCTTTGGACTGAGCACTCATCATGCTTTGTGACACTTTCAGGAATGAGCCATCCCAGACGATATAACCGGGGGACCCTAGTTCACTACCTCTAAGCCTGTTCTGTTTTTGTATGACGCAAGCAGAGCCACTAATATTGATTATTTGCTTGTGTGTGTGTATCCTTCCTCAGGACTACTGTGGCAGTGCTCAGAGTAATGGAACCTTCAGAGTGATCACTGAAAATGTTCCATGTGGAACCACAGGAACCACCTGCTCCAAAACCATCAAGATCTTCCTGGGGGTAAACAGTCAATACATAACCTTTTTTTTAAAAATAACTGCATTGTCTGACTCAGTGTAAACTGCTGATACAAACTTAAAATTCAAAGGTATTCACAACTGATTTGGCGCAAATAGAAGTTTAGAAGGACTTTAGACTAGGCTTTAGATTCTTGAAGACGTTTAGCCTCTGATCCTTACTTGTTTTACAATAACTGAGCAGATTATACAAAAATCTGACAAGAAATGCCAGTGCCAGAAATGGGCCAGTACTCACTGGTTCCGATTTTTGTCCCACTTGAGGACCCATTCTTCTAGGGCGCCGCAGCCAGGCCAGGGGGGCTGGGTCAGGGAGGCGGAGGGGTCGTCCCCCAATCGGCAAGGTTGTGTTCTCTCCTCATGCCACGTGTTCAAAGTTATCCTTGAGCAAGATAGCTGCAAGCCCAAATTGCTCGCGATGGCATGAGACATCGGGTTGTGTGGAATGTGTCATGAATGAAGTTCATTTCTGTTCGATTGGGACTCCTGTTGTGAAGTGTGTGTGAAACGGGGTCCATGTGGCACGTAAGTGTAAAAGCGCTTTGGAGTGGTCGAAGACTGGAAAAAGGCGTTATACAATGCAGTTCCATTCTTACCATTTACCGCCACGTCCTGGTTAAACTAGGTATGCACCTGCATAACACTTAGTTTTTCTTTCCCACTGGCATTCTGCGAATACTTACACAACTCTGCCTCTGATTAGCTAATGTTCATTACGTTAATTAGTTTGGTTGGTAAGATGAAGACAGAGTAAAAGCAGGTGTCTGGTCTGTGATTTCCAGTAACAAGTGAAATTGTATATGTAGGTGAAATCAATTTCTGTCCTTTTGTTTAGAGTGCAGAACTAATACTAACAGAGGGAAGCTACCAGCTGCTTTCAAGTGGAAATGAAGAAACAGTTCCATTCCTTTACCGCACTATGGGCATCTACCTGGTAGTTGAAGCCAATAATGGACTCATTCTCATGTGGGACAGAAAGACCAGCTTGTTCATCAAGCTCAGCCCAAAATATAAGGTAACCATGAAATGAAGGTTTTGTTTTTAATGTCACAATAACTGATTACAACAATTAAAAGGCAAGGTTTGTTTTGATATCTAATTTGAGCTCTGCTTTTTCAGGGACGTGTGTGTGGGCTGTGTGGTAACTATGATGGCAATGCAAATAATGACTTCACTACAAGGTCCCATGCAGTGGTGGTCAACCCGCTGGTGTTTGGGAACAGCTGGAAGGATTTGCCAAGCTGCCCTGATGCTCAGGCAGTGACCAGCCCCTGCACAGCCAACCCATACAGACAGTCGTGGGCCCAGAAACGGTGCAGCATTATACAGAGTGACGTCTTCTCTGCCTGCCACTCTACTGTAGGTCAAGTTTGTTGTAGTTTTTCTTCTGTTTTTAATCTACAACCATCAGTGTCTGGTGATGGGGATGTTTTAGTTGCTCTGCCTGTCCCTCCAACACAGATCCAGAACAAGATATGTCAACTACTGGACAGACATTGGGAAATTTAATGTGGATATGCCTGGTGCTCAGAGAATGACTCCTAATTATATTAGTAATCACTAACTTTACATTCAGCACCACTGTCAAGTCAAGTTTCCCCTTCAAAAGCAAAAGTACTCATTAAGCAGTGGAATGGCCCCTTTTCAGAGTGTTAAATTATGATATATTACAGTATATTATTTGGTCATTATTGCCATTGCATTAACATTTATGCAGCATTTTAATGTTGGTGAGGTGTTTAAACTATTATTTTTATATTTATATATGTGTGGGCAGTTTAATATCTGAAAAGGCATCTTATTTTATAAACTTTGATGATCTGTCCTGAAATCTGAAGAGTAATTACTAACTGTAGCTGTCAGATAAGTGCAGTACTTGCCTCTTAGTTGTAGTAAACTAGAAGTAGAATTGATGTTGTGCCTCCCGTCCACACGACATTTAGTGTTGTGGAGTTGCTCTTCCACACCTATTTAACCCATTAATGTATCACGATTAACGTGTCTGTAGGTGGACCCCACTCCATACTATGACGCATGTGTGTTTGACTCATGTGCTTGTGACACTGGTGGAGACTGCGAGTGTTTCTGCACAGCTGTGGCTGCTTATGCTGAAGCCTGTAATCAAGCCGGAATCTGCATACAATGGAGAACTCCCAAGATCTGCCGTGAGTAACCAGGATGAAACATTCCTTGTTGAAAAACAGTTCATACGCTTTTCTTTTTTTTGTATCACAGTTCTGAGAACTACAATTAGGAATGGTTGTGCCATTTGTGCATTTCACTACCATATACTGGGAGGTGTCGGATTAATCTTTCAGAGATCACAGTGACTTTTTTCTGAGGTCATTTTCATTTCATCATTCAGTATTACAATGCTCTGGTACCATGTCTGATTAGTATAAAGGTAAAATTAAGGCTATGTATAATCACATGTCTAAAATCATTAGTATGCTCTCTGAATACTCCAAACTGGAACATAATCATCTTCTCTAAATAAGTATTTATTTTCCAGCTCTCTTCTGTGATTACTACAACCCCCCTGGTGAATGTGAATGGCACTATAAGCCATGTGGATCTCCTTGTATGAAAACCTGCAGGAACCCCTCAGGCAGTTGCTCTACCCAGATACCTCCTCTAGAAGGTACAAGATAAGTTTTTATAACTTGAACAATGGCCAACAACTATTAAAGAAGCTACACTGTAAAACCTTCTGTTTGTTTTTCAATTAGGTTGCTATCCAAAATGTCCTCCTGCTCAGCCATACTTTGATGAGGACACAATGACATGTGTTTTAAAAGAACAATGTGGATGCTTCAATAAAGAGGGGAGACACTATAAAAATGGTGACAATGTTCCAACAACCGAAAACTGTCAAACATGGTAGGCCTTGCATATATTAAATGTGCCACATCAAGATTAAGTTCAAATTAATTGAAAACAAAACTGACAATATATTTCATGTTATCTCTCTTGAAGTACATGCAGTTCTATGGCCATCCAATGCCATTATGATGCCCAAGGTATGCAAAGATATAGAGAGACTGTGGGTTGTAAAAATGCATACAAATTATAATGTTAATAAGTCAATAATACATTTCCTCTCTTTATAGCTTGTACTTGCACCTATCATGGAAACAAATATCCCCCTGGCAATGTCATCTATAACACAACAGATGGACATGGTAACTGCATCACAGCAGTGTGTGGAAAGAATGGTACCATTGACCGGACGTCATACCCATGCCAAATAACGACAACACATATGCCATCCACTGCTACACCAAGCCAGCCACCAACAACCTTTGTTTTTACATTAACGACATCAGGTAGGGGAAGGTATTCCTTTGTGGAACTTAAGACATATTAAGGTGTATAATGTAAAAATTACCTCCTAACCAACACCTATAATATGTGTGTCCACAGAGCCAGTCACATGTAATCCTTGTGAATGGTCCCCATGGTATGATACCAGCTTCCCCACACTGGGAACTCCAGGAGGAGACAGTGAAACTTATGAAAAGATTAGAGAAGAGGGGTACAAGATATGTGACAAGCCAAGCGAGATCCAATGCAGAGCTGAGAAATTCCCTAATGTCACCATTGACAATGTGGGACAAGTGGTGCAGTGCAATCTGGCTAAAGGGCTGACATGCAGAAATGAAGACCAGTCAGGACCACTGGCCTTGTGCTTTAACTATCAAGTCAGAGTTCTTTGTTGTGACTATAGTGCATGCCCAACAAAGCCTACTCCTACACCTACAACACCTCCAAGCTCAACCACAAAACCCCAAATAACCCCAACAACACAACATGTTACTCTAACACCTTGTGAAGAAATAGTATGCTCCTGGTCCAAATGGATAAATTCAGACTACCCTGAGTATGGTCCTGCAGGTGGGGACAATGAAACCATCACACACATCATCCAGAAAGGATATGAAATTTGTGAGAATCCAGTGGCAGTGGAGTGTCAGGGTGTGCACTATCCAGGGGTTCCCCTAAAGACCTTGCGACAAGAGGTAACATGTAATAACCAAGGACTTGTGTGTAAGAACAGCTTGCAGTATCCCCCAATATGTTTAGATTATGAAATAAAGGTAAAGTGTTGCAAAAAGGTTCAATGCAGCACAACACCAAAACATACAACAATTACTTTCACAACCAAACCAACTACACCTCCTCATACTACAACCACAACACCTTCTACCACGACCGAAACGACAACTCAGCCACCGACAACCACTACACCTACCACAACACCTTCTACCCCAACTGAAACTACAACTCAGCCACCAAT